AAATTGCCACCGGGGGCAGGGTCCTGCTTACTGACTGTCTCCATGTCTGTGACCATTCACCTTGCGATGTAGGACCAAGTACAATGAATCTAGGTGACCCAAAAAAAAAAAAAAAAAAAAGTCTAGGAGAGCGGGACCACAGCTTGCCGTCCCATGTTGTTGTGTCTGAGATCCAGGTGAGGTCGAGTTTCTTTTTTTTTTTTTTTTTTTAAGAGGTTCCCAGCTCATCATGATAAGTGATGGGTCCTTTCTGATAATGCACTGAGAAAAATTGTTGATGCGATTGTCCTCTTCGAACAGGAATGTTCTACGTAGATTCATTGTATGAACATCAAGTCTTCACGCGCTGAGGCCATTGCGCCGTGGATGTCTTCAGAGTCCGTGATAATTATTGGGTGGCGACAACGTCCTGCTGCTGCTGCTGATCACAGATGACTGCCGACTTGATTGGATTCGAGATTCCGTTGCATTCGTGTGGATAAGGTTGGATAAGGTTGGATAAGGTTGGATAAGATTGGGTCAGATTTTTGGATAAGATTGGATAAGATTGGATAAGATTGGATAAGATTTTTGGATAAGATTGGATATAATTTTTGGATAGGATAGGATAAGATTGGTGGATAAGATTGGTGGATAAGATTTGTGGATAAGATTGGTGGATAAGATTGGTGGATAAGATTTGTGGATAAGGTTGGATTCGATTGGATTGGAGGAGTCAGCTTTATTGCCGCTGGAAAAGGAACGACGCACCCACGTGGAAAGAAGAAGAGAAAAGGGAGGAGGAGGGAGAGAAGGAGGAAGGAGGGGCGGGCTGAAGAACGGAGGCGGAACGCATTTCCTGCTGGCACCAACAGAAACAGCACCAGGAAGATGCGCCTCAGCCCCGGAAAGAGAAGCGGAAACACATTTACTGTTGACGCCAACAGAAAAGTGCCAACAGTGAGCATCGGATGCGTCTCCACGATGGTTTATCCGCTACGACCACCAGATATCAGCAGTTGCTGTTGACGTCAACGGAAAGTTTACAAGCACGCGCAATCTCAGAGATATCCACTGATTCGTTCTCTCTACAGACGCTTCCAGGGACTTCAAACTAGTCCAAAGACTTGAAGTGCGTGAAACAGGACTTCTCTCTCTCTCTCTCTCTCTCTCTCTCTCTCTCTCGCTCTCTCTCTATCTATCTATCTATCTGTCTGAGAGATTTTGAATCTAAAAAAATGGAGTGGAAGACAGTGTGAGCGTTCCGGAACTGGCGAGTTTTTTGTTTTTTTTTTGTCATTGCACCGTTCAAAACACAAGCAAAGAATAGAGTCCTAAAACCTCGCCTACTAGGACCGTGGGCTACTAGAGTCAGAGAGCCGGCCATTTCGTCTACTAGACTCAGAAAGCAGGGCGTTTGGGCTACCGGACTCAGAAAACCGGGCAGCAAATTTCTGTACGTTTTCAAATCAGAGGCGAGAGCAGAGAAAGATGGATGGTGTGGGGCGTAGCGTGGCAACAGCTCTGATGTGCAGTGGTGTATTTGCTGATATGCAATACAAAAAACTGCCAGAGGCTATGAAGGATGATCGTTGCTCGGTCGGTCTGGTTTGACCGTCTGTGTGTGTGTGCGCGCGCGTGTGTGTGTGTGTGTGTACGTGCGTGTGTGTATGTGTACGTGCGTGTGTGT